GGCCCCCCCCCCCCGCATGGGAGGAGGGGGTAAATTGTGTTAGGTTATAGGAATGGAAGATGGAGGATGGAGGAGATGCTTTTTGATTTTGATGCAAAAGTAGAAGCAAAGGGAAAATTGGGAACGGGGGAAAGGAGGAAATGGAGAAGTAAGAGATTTAAAAAAACAGAAGGAGGAGGAGAGAGTGGAGGGAGATGGTATAGTATAGTATAGTGTAGAAGGGATGTAAAGGATGGGAAATATTTGGGGGATGGCGGTGAGGGGAGAGAGGGTGATGGGAAAGTGATGGGAGGGAAGAAAAGGGAATGGTGATGTGGGAAATGGGAATGGAGGGGATTATAGGGAAGAGGGGAAGAAAGGAGGATGATGGGAAAAGTCAAAGGAAATTTATAGAAAAGTTGTTTTGTGAGGTTAGATGTAAGACTTAGGATGGAAATGGGGGTGATTGTGATTGAAAAATGAAGAGTTGGGAAAGAGTAAATAAAAGGATAAATAAAAGAATATTATTATAGTATTCATTTTTTTTTTTTTTAATTTTTAAACCATTTATATTTATATTTATAAAAACACAACTTGATCTTAATAAATTATTCTAATTTATTTTTGATAAAGATAATAAAGACTTTGTAAAGGGGTGAAATTCATCAATCTTGACATGACTTCACTTAACGTGGTTTATCAGGACCCTGTACATATCAGGACCCTGTACACTTTTACCTCAATTATTACCTTTCAACTTCAACACGCGATTTATCAATATTTAATTATGTAAACTACTTCAAAAAGAAGCTCGAATCAATTTAGCTATTGAGGCTATTTGTATATCTCAAAATTTGAGTATTCGGAAAGTTGCAAAACTCTATAATATACCTCATACTACCCTTACCTCTAAAATGAATGGAATTCTGCCTTTTACTGAACATTGATCAGCAAATCATAAAATGACAGAATTGGAGGAGAAATCGCTTCTTCAATATATATTGGATATAGATGAAAGAGGGTTTAATCCTCGAATAAGTGATGTAGAAGATATGGCGAATTATATACTCGAAACGCAGGGTGCGAAGAAGATTGGAAAGCTCTGGGCTCATCGTTTTGTGAAACAATATACAGAATTAAAGACATGTTTTAATTGTGTTTATGATTTTCAAAGAGTTCTCTGCGAAGATCCAGAGCTTATTGAAAGATGGTTTCGATTGATGTCGAATATGCAGGCCAAATATAGTATTCTGGATTGCGATTTCTACAATTTCGATAAGACAAGCTTTATAATAGGACAAATATCACTATATATAGTAGTTACTAAAGTTGATCAATGTGGAAAAAGCAAAGCTATATAATTAGGCAATCGAGAATGGGCTATAGCGATTATTTGTGTTGATGAAGAAGATTATAATATACCTTCGTTTTTGATAGTAAAAGGCGAATACCATCTTTCAAATTGGTATACCGAAGGTGATTTACCATACGATTAGCTTATTAAACCTATTATCAATGGATGGACAGATAATGAGATAGGTCTTGAATAGATTAAGCACTTCAACAAACATATTGAAAGTAGGAAAGTGGGTAGATATCGAATGCTAGTGCTTGATGGGCATGAAAATCATAAATCGCCAATATTTCAGGAATACTGTAAGGAACACAATATTATATTATTTAGTTTACTACCTCATTCTTTGCATTTAATTCAACCACTTGATATCGATTGTTTTAGTCCTTTAAAGTATTCATATAGTCGATAAATCGAGAACTTTATCAAGGCGTATATTACTCATATTACCAAAACCGAGTTCTTTCAAATCTTCAAAGCTATATATATCGAAGTAATATCTATATCAAATAATAAAGCTGGATTCCGCGAAGCTGGGCTAATCCCATTTAATCCGGAAATTGTACTTTCAAAGCTAGATATTCGAATAAGAACTTCATCAAATAGATCAATATTAGCCGATCCTGATATATAGCAATCTCAAACACCTCACAATCCAATTGAAGCTCTTTCTCAATCCACTTTAATGAAAAATCGTATTGCTCAACATTAAAGGAGCTTATCTACTCCAATATTTAAAACAATTGCAACTTTAGCTAAAGGTACAAAGCTCTTAGTTTATGTGAATACGCTTTTAGCTGCTGAGGTTCATAATCTCCATAAAGCAAATGAAGCATTTAGTAAATGTTGAAGAGTTAGAAAAGCTTTAATACGAAAAGGAGGAGTACTTTCAGTAGAAGATGGATATAATATATTAGAACAAGAGAATATAGAGGATCAGATACGATACGATGAATTTACAAATGGTGATTCTTCAGCAAGAAGGCAAGCTACTATACAACGATATAGCAAATGTGGTAGTGCTTCATATAATGTACAAATTTGTCAATTAGATCCAGCATTAGTTGGTCTTTGAATTGTATGTAATTTAATTCTAATTTATAGTATTGTTGTAATTTTATTTCAATGGAATGTGGGCAATTGAGGTAAAAGTGTACAGGGTCCTGATATGTACAGGGTCCTGATAAACCACGTTAGTGTATATTATATAATAATGAGTGGCTTTAGAACTCTTATAAGTGATATTAAGCGAGAGGAGATATCAGTGGTAGTGAATATGGAAGATATATATTAATGAATGATGGGCATTGAGGATTATATAAAGCTCTGTCTATGTCTTAGACGTTCCGGTACTATGCCTAGCTCGTCTCGTTTGCAGATGTAAATTATACACTGTAAATAAAAAGAATATCGAGATATTGAATCTTGTCTTTACAATTGTTATATTGTAAAATTTCCTAAGATATCTAGGTAGACTAATATAATTATTGTGATACCAAACGCCTTTTTACAAATCCATAACTCCATCTCCCTTAATAAAGATTGATTTTCCATGATATATTCTGGTAAGTCATTCTAACATTGTGCATCCAGATATTGGCGATTCGAAAATAGTTGGACGGAACAACTTTGTCGTTTCCAAACCAGCTTCTGATGGATCCCAAACCATACGTAACATCAATCTCAAATGCCGGTATCTTCACGAACCCCTTAATCATCCATCTCCATATCATCAGCCTCTTCCACACCACCATCAACCAACTCCCTGAGCCTGATCTTTTGCTTTCCAAATACACTTCTTTGCTCTCTCTCCAAATCCAACTCATGAACTTCTTCTCCCAACTCCTCAAGTCTTTTCTTCTCACTTCCACGCATCTTTGGCAATAAGTGTTCGTTCTCGGCAACCAATTTTCTGTTGGCTTCTCTTTGTCTGGCGACATTACCCTCCATGCGCTTCTTGTAAAAGACACGTTCGCGGCGAGCCCGAATTTCAGAAACACGTTGCATGGCTTTGAGGGTGGTGGCGATGTGATCACGGTTGTAACGGACTGGAACGTTGCGGCGAGCGGAAAAGTTGAGGGTACTATCAACGACCATTTCTTTGCCGGCAGCTTTACGGAAAGCTTTGGTCCATTTGAGTTTACGGGGGTTACGCTTCATTTTGAACTAGAAGAAGTGTCAGTTTAGGTCTGGCGGCGGAGAGAATTGAGAAAAAGTTGTGAGTTTGAGATTGAGGTCTCGACCGTTCTGCATCATAGGATGAATAGGCTGGATGAACGTACATTCTTGTGGCATTTACTACGACAAAATCTGAAAGTTCGCGCATCGTTACGAACGAATGTTATGCCCTTGCTTGGGTAGCAGGGCTGCGAGCAAAAATAACAGGTTTCAATTCTGTAATTGTGATGAGTTAGCAGAGTTAAGGATTGCGATTGATGGATTTATGGTAAAAAAATGAGATTGCAATTGAGATCTCAAAATTCCAATGATTTCTAAAGAATTTAATGATGAGATAGGGGAGTTTGAATTCTTACCTCATGTTGACGGTGTTTCTTTCTGAGCCAGCTTGTCGTTGTGCTGGATTATCGATGGATTTGTATCGATTTGAGAAATTTTGGTGGATGTCCGACTTTTTTCACTAGCGCCAGCCGATAAGATAGTTAACCTTAGCTTAGTGATGGCACGTGCTTTCAATTTATGAGATTCTCGAAATATTCATCCATCCCCCTGTTTGTTCTGTTGACTTGAATTTTTTTTACATATTCAAGAAAATCTTTAAGCTCTTCTTCCATCTTAAATGCTATTGTCGCTCACATTATGGTTAACCTCTTGTGTTCATTGTGATAACTTCTCATATTCATCAGGTACCTCTAATGACCAATCACAGTAGCGAGAAATTTGTACTTTGATATTTTCCAACCAAAGTATCTTCACTTCAATATTACCAGCATTTACAGAAATAATGTCGCTCTACTATGAAGCAGCTGAAGTTCTAGCTGCTCCTACTAATCAAGGTGGTAGCTTAAGATCAAGAATTTTCAGCAAGAAAGATTTGAAATCACAACCAGCTCAAATCTATGCTCTGGCGATAGAATCATGTAAATGGAGTCCTATTTTGAAGGAAGTCGTCGAAAATGCAGATTTATTACGATTGGAACGAAAGGTCAGTGTTCTGGTTAACGTTGATCAAGATTTTGAATGTACTAATGTTATTTCTAGCTGACCCCAGTCATGTCTCTTCTCCTCGTTCATGACTTATTATTGGCAAAAAGAGGAATTGCTCTTCCAGCCACTCATGGTTTACGAGCATCAATTGAGAGACATAAGGGAAGATTGCAAGCAGAATTGACCAAGGCAAGACTTCGGAGAAAAATGAGCACAATGGAAGCTTTAAAAGCCTATGTCGAGACAGGTCAGGAGAATGCAACTGACACATCTGAAGCACCTTACCCTCGTTGGATTCGTATCAACACTTTAAAAAGTACTCTTCAGGATCAACTCGAATCTACTTTTACTGAATTTGAACGTGCAGCAACAATTGATGCTGTCAGACATCGAGGTTCTAAACGCATATATATCGATGTTCATATTCCAAATCTCATTGCCATATCACCAAATATTGATCTTTCAAAGAGTGAAGCATACAAATCTGGACAAATTATCTTCCAGGACAAAGCATCATGTTTTCCAGCATATCTTCTTGATCCTCTTGCCGAAGATGGTGATATTATCGACTCTTGTTCAGCACCTGGTAACAAGACTACTCATATTGCGGCTATTTTGGTTGATCGACTTCCTGAACCAGATGAATCTACTCAAGTTATTCACGCATTTGAGAAGAACAAAGGAAGAGCTGAAACTTTAGATAAGATGGTCAATTTAGCAGGGTCAAATACGTTCACTACTCTTCATGCCGGCCATGATTTCTTGAAGACTGATCCTAATTCTGGTACATACAAGAATGTTGGTGCTTTGTTGTTGGATCCAAGTTGCTCAGGAAGTGGTATTGTTGGTAGAGATGATATGCCCGAGTTACACTTACCAGGTATCAAGGAGCTTAGTGTGAAACCTTCTAGACACAAAAAGAAGCCGAAGAAGGCACCAGAGCCAGTTGAACCAAACAAGAAACGAAAGCGTGAAGACGAAGAGGATAAATTGGAAGTCATGGTTGATGATGATGGAGTCGTCACTGCTGTCGATACCGATGCCGAACTTCAATCTAGGTTAGCCGCCCTCGCAGAATTTCAACTGGAACTTCTTCTTCATGCATTCAAGTATCCTGCTGCTCGAAAGATTACCTACTCTACTTGTTCTATTCATGCCGAGGAAAATGAATCAGTTGTTCAAAAAGCATTAGCTTCCGACATCGCCAAGGAAAGAGGTTGGAAAATTCTCCGTCGTGATAATCAAATCAGGGGTATGAGGGAGTGGCCAGTTCGAGGTTCTGTAGAAGCATGTGATGGAGATGAAGTGGTTGCAGAAGGATGTATTCGAGCCAACAAAGGAGATGAACATGCTACTATGGGATTCTTCTTGGCAGGATTTGTGAGAGACCAAACATCAACGGTTGATCCTGAAGCCGAGTTCATCAGAGATGAGCGTGGACATCTTGTCCGCGATTTAATGGGGATACCAATCAGAAAAGATCAGGAGACACCAGAAGAATCGGATACCCATGCCCAAATGGAAGCTGGGGAATCTTACGATCACGGACCGGAAGACGGTGAGGAATGGGGTGGATTCGAGGAAGAGGTTGCACCGATAGTTCAGGAGAAAAGGGAGGTACCCGCTGCAGTTGAAAAGAAAGAAAAGGTCAAGGTCAACAAGCATGCTCATGATGCGATTAAGAAACGGGTCAATATGAGTGTGAAGGACAAGAAGAGACAGAAAACAAAAAGATAATTCAAGAACCTATTCTAAGGGGCCCTGTATATTGAGACATCAGGATTGATGTCTGTCTTCACCGTTACCCACCAGAGGATACCAATGAACATACTATTTTTTTCCTGTTACTAAGTTCACCCGTGTGAAATCCGTTCAGGTTGAATCTTGAACATCAACTTCTTCCGCCGTGGAAATGGAAATTCTAGAATCATCTAATCTGATCCCAGCCTGAATGTATCAAACCCTTGATTTCTTCAAGATGTATAGAAGCTTATAAATAGGGAGTGATGGCGATAAATATTATTTCCGCCGTCAATGCTAAGATACGCCCGGCTAAGTCGGCATCTATTAGGCTACATTTTCATCACAAACAAGACGATTTATCGGTAGCGAAATCACAACAAGATCCTTCTATCAGCGGTATGATAAAGCCACAAACAAGACGTTTACCCCATTTGGAGTTTAGATCCACTCACAAAATTGAAGTTTTCGTTACAATCACTTGCATAACCTCAGCTTAAACTTCCTCGATCCACTACAGGCCTAATATTCACGACATATCGGAAGCAAGTTAGTCCGGATAGTTAATATCTCTGACTGATGCATTGCATAATATGCATTAACGAGCATAATTTGCATAAATAGTTTTATGTCTACCAGTCGGATGTTCGATCAGCGTGCTTCGATATATCAGCAAGTAATGCTTTGGAGATTGTTTTTGGGTGGCTATTATATTTGTACGTGGTATATAATGTATGCAGTGCGCCGCATACTTTTTGAGCTCCTCATTCAACCACACATTGGGTGTTTGATTTTATCTTTGACAGGGATTTATTTATCCTTATCCATTCAACATTCGAATATATACGCGACGACATGATGGTTCGAAATTCAGATTCGAATTCTGCTTCTTCAACTGTAGTGAATATGGATAGAGATCTAGAAGAACAGAAATATGTTCAGAAAAAGGCTAAACATTGGGAATTGGTTTTCGATCAGACTCATGTCACGCCCGAAGTCCTCAACTACCCTTATAAGGGCTCTGGTACCGAACAGGATCCTTATGTCGTGGAATATATTCCCAATGATCGCAGAAATCCTATGAACTTTAGCATGTTGAAGAAATGGAGTCTGACAATACTTCTTGCTTGTGTAAGCTCTCCCCTTTTTTTGCTTCAGAGTTTCGGTTATTATTCGCCGAAGTTTAAACTGTGTGACGGATGAGTGAGGTGACACAGTAGCACTTTTATCCTGTACTAATATTTTGAGACAGGCAACATTAGCAGTATCTTTTGTATCCTCGGCATATACGGGCGATGTTGATGGAATCATCGAAACGTTTCACGTCGGTCCGGAAGTCGCTACATTAGGCGTCTCGCTTTTCGTCTTGGGTTTCGCTATCGGTCCGCTCCTATGGGCTCCTTTATCTGAATTATATGGTCGTCAAGTTCTTTTCTTTGGTACTTATGCTATGCTTACTACTTTCAATGCTGGAGCTGCTGGAGCAAAGAATATTCAGACGCTTCTGCTTATGCGATTTTTCGCAGGAGCTTTTGGAAGTTCGCCCCTTACAAATGCCGGTGGAGTTATCGCGGATATGTTCACTGCTTCTCATCGTGGAATTGCAACCAGTATATATGCTGCAGCACCATTTTTGGGTCCTGCTATTGGTCCCATTGTAGGAGGCTTCCTAGGGGAAGCGAAAGGTTGGAGATGGATTGAGTAAGTTACGTTGGTGAGACCAAGCATTGAATAGAGTTTCTAACACTGTTAATAGGGGCCTCATGGCCATCTTCACTGGAGCACTCTGGATTATGGGTGGCCTCCTTATTCCCGAAACTTATTCCCCAGTCATTCTTCGCCGTCGAGCCGACAAAATGTCTTCGATGACTGGAAAAGTCTACAAGTCCAAGATAGAAGTCGACTATGGTTCTAAATCCATCGCAGCAGAATTCAAGACTTCACTGTCGAGACCCTGGATCTTGTTGTTTACAGAACCTATCGTGTTCTTGCTGAGTTTATACATGGCCATCGTCTACGGAACTCTGTACATGATGTTCGGAGCATTTCCAATCGTTTACCAACAGGATCGTGGATGGAGTGCTGGTGTTGGTGGATTGGCTTTCTGTGGTGTGGCAGTTGGGATGATGCTTGCAGTCCTCTACTCACTGTGGGATAATAAACGATACAACGATACAGCTGCTAGGCATAATGGTGCCGCTCCGCCTGAAGCTCGTCTCCCGCCTGCCATTGTCGGAAGTATCTGTTTGCCTATTGGACTCTTTTGGTTCGCATGGACAAATTCTCCAAGTATCCATTGGAGTGTTAGTATTATCGCAGCTGCTCCATTTGGTTTCGGTATGGTGTTGGTGTTTTTAAGTATTATGAATTATCTCATAGATTCGTATATACTCTACGCCGCTTCCGTTTTAGCGGCCAACAGTGTGCTTCGCTCCTTATTTGGTGCGGCGTTCCCACTATTTACTACATGTAAGTATTATCTTCATCTCCCAAGGCTGTGTCAAAGAGATAACCAACTGTATGATAGATATGTTCAATAACCTTGGAATACATTGGGCAAGTTCCATCCCGGCTTTCCTCGCTTTGGCTTGTTTACCCTTCCCATTCCTCTTTTACAAATATGGAGCTTCTATAAGGATGAAATGCAAGTTTGCGGCGGAGGCAGCACGTGTATTGGCGGAGATGAGGGGTGCTTCTTCAAATGAGGATGAGGCGGAGGAGACGTTGGAGGATATGGAGGAACGGGAGGCGAGAAGATTGAATGTTCATGGGGAGAGCGAAGGAGATAGCGTCCTTAAAGATGGAGAGAAACGTGAAAATTAAGTTAATGATTAAAAAGGTCACGATTTTTTTTTATTTTTTTTATTTTTTTTTTTTTTTTTTGGTTTAACGCTTAGAGATAGAGAGAGTCCTTGAGTATTTGGGATCGTCATATGCATAGCATTAGCATTTCGAATGTATTGGAAAAAGGGGCACACATGTAAATGGGCGGGGGCTTTCAGTTGTATTAAGATATCCTATGAAATATATGCCTATTAGATAGTTAATGAAAAAGTACAAATGCCTCTTACAAATGCAAACAATCCTTCCTTAGCAGGAGAATGATAATCAAAGGGTCTCGCTGGGCTGTTGGCTTCACTACCTAGTTTCGTGTGTATGAAATTTGTATTGTGGGAAGAAGTAAGAAAGGGTTTCGTGTGTTTGAAGAATTACAAATGGAAAGTAAAAGTAGGTAATCTGGAGGAACAAATAGATTTGATTAGATGATGGTTGGGAGGGAAAAGAGAACAGTAACCTTATAATCAGTAGGGACAAATTGATCCTTTTGAGCCATGCCCACGCACGGACCCACCAAATCTGGTGATCTATCTTCGAGCCACTCGAATTCATCTCCCTCCAAGAATATAACCTTACATCAAGCTTTCAACATCAGGTTCTATTCCTCAAGCCTTACCAAACAGTTTTCACCAGAGACGAGTTTGCATACGTCAGTCAGCCCATACGATAGAGCACGGAAACTCCAATAAGCACGGTACGGCACGGCACGAAACGTGTAATGAATGCGGATGGCTGGCACAGAATGGCCGGGTTCGAATGCCTTTGAATGCTGTGCCATGGGGTTGATATTGGCTGGAGACGGCAAAGGGGCTTAAGATGGCAAATACAATCCTGGATGTAATCTCGGTTTGTAGATTCCGATATGCTGTCAATAATGCAGCAAGGCACATTTTTGCGTATGTTGTCGGCAGGATCAACCCGTCTTATAAGGTTAATGTATGCACCAATTTTGTTGTCATGTACCTGCTTTTGTCACCAACATTTAGTCACTCCTTTTCAAACTCGTTTTATGATAGTTCTCTTTCATTACTCTACTATCCGGGTGCCTGTACGGACTCGTGGAATGTAAGATCAGAGCCATCAGACATTCGCAAAATATTTGTTTGTTCTCTCCAAAGCCTGATCGAATCAATTAGTGTATATTCTATATCAGACAAAGGGATTATATAAGCTTGATAGAATCAATTATAGATTGAGGTCACTATGGTTCCTGAAAGTTCAGAATCATCTATATTTCCGTGCCACTCCTGATGATCTTATTGAGTCTACGCCTTACGTGGCGTTCCGTCCCTATGATTTTGCTGAGGAAAGAGGATTTTAGTATACTGTTTCGCTGTGACATCGCGCCGCGAAGGTGCACTATTAATTTGATATCACACTCCTTAGCAAATTTATCCGAGGTTATGGGGGCTACCCAAATCTTCTATACCCTCCTGTTTTTGATATTTCATCTCTTTCATGGCGCTGCTCATGTGGTTTATAATATTCACTTGATTTCTCAGATTTAAAAAGAGTTCAAATCTAATACGCCATGTAGACCCTCCCACATCTCAGTTCCTGCCTCCATCGTTACCATTGTGTCAGTTCGTTACGCTCATTATTTTTAATCATGGTTGTGATTCTACCAGATGGAGTGGCGAACTTGGAGTCGATAATTGCGTTCTTGATCATAGACACAATAGCTCTCATTCTTCGCGTCATTTCAAGAATACAGACTAAAAATACGACGACGACCGGACGATTCATCCGTTATGATGACTGGTGGATTTTGGCGGCTTATTTGACTTATGCTTCGCATTGTATGCTGATTATTTGTGGTGGGTACACAAATTCGCTGAAACAACTGCAAATAGCATATACTAACTGGGTCAGATATCACGAAAATATCAGGTACCCTGGAGCCATATCTAGTAATGGATTCAGATAATCGACTAAAAATGCTCGAGGTAGAGTTCTAAGTTTGATTTAGTTTGTTTAGTAATGCTGAGCTGATACTTCGATGGATCTTATGGATTGGTAGCATTCACTGTCCATTCGTCATCACAGCTGTCAAAATCTCGCTTTTATGCATGTACCGCTCTCTTTTCAAGACAACCCCATATCTTATTCGTTGTGTAAATGTTACAATGGGTCTATGCATAATATGGTTTATCATTACTGTTTGCATGACTTGCTTTGGATACACACCTATCAGAGCCGCATATGATTTAGCTCTTAGAATTCAGCCCACTACACGTTGTATTCCATATGGAGAGATAGTTCTTGGCTTTGAACTACCTAATGCACTTCTAGACGTTGTTATTCTTGCCCTACCTTTTTTCGTCATCAAAGACCTTCATGTACCTGTACGGAAGAAGGTACTTCTATTCTTGGTATTTTGGTTTGGTGGATTGTAAGTTTTATCATCTTCCCACTGATGCAAAAAAAATTCCACTGACTAGAATGAAGTGTCATCGTGACATGCATCTTACGCATAAAATACTCATATCAACCTCATGACGCAGAACACTGCAAGGGATCTAAGCTCTTTTCTTGTTTTGCCTCGCTGACTTTAATACAGTTTCTGGATTTTCCACAGCGAATGAATGGTTGATGATTGAAGAGGGAAGCGCTATTCTAGGAGCCTGCGTCCCAACATGTATGATAAATCGGCCTATTAAATTCTCATTTCTTAATGCTTGATTCTATTCTCCCTCCTAAATGTTACACAATTCATTTCTAAAATATTCTCATCTCTCAATACAACTTATAGCTCCTCATTTTCCCCTGTGTTCTATTGGATTTCTCCTTAGCCTGCAATTACTGATCCCCAATTTTGCAGTCCGCCCCATACTCAAAGCATGCTTCAAACTTCCCAAACCTATTAACGATTGGTTCTCTTCGGCGCCTGGTACCCTAGGTCCAGCAAGCAAATTCTCAAATGGTCACGTACGACTAAAAAACCAACCTAGTCGCCTAAATAACGGAAATGGGAATGAATCTTCATTCCAACTGAAGAAAATCTCGCCAGCATATATTCAGCATGGAGGAGAACGACGAAGCCATGACCACGATGAGGATTTGGGTGTCAGTTCGTTGGCTGATAATAGGATTTGGGTCACGAGGCACACTACAATTACTGGATAGGCAGTGAATGGGTCAATCGTTGGGGTTTTTTAATCAATATGGTAGCTCCGCAGTTGGTGTAGCTTCAAACATAATTCGATCTTTATAAATGTTTTGTTGCTCATTCTCAGGCAGTGTTTACTGGAATTGAAACTGAAGTAGTTTTCTATTTTTATGTTTAGACATAATCCATTCACAAAGCTCAAGTGGGTAGATTGGTTTTCTTGTTCATCTCATGTTCGTTAATGGCTTTTCATGCACGAATTCCTTTTCCTCGAAGGCTACCTCTCTCCACGTAGACTCGTGTAGATGATAATGTGCCAGAAATAAATTGTGCCTTCAGATGAGATGGAGTCGTTTTTTTCTGGAACGCTATTGATATATAAATCGATCTTTCTCACTTATCGACTCACATTATTCAAGGAGGTAAGAGAAGGTAATTGTCGGATTGTAAAGGTCGAGAATTTCCATGCGATTATCGGTTGTTTTTCATGTTGGAAATTGTTTCACATGAAGGTTCTGATAAAGAATTTTTATTACCAGACACCAACGGTAGTGGCCGTGAAATTTTGATGTTGTACCTGTTGATTTACAGGTTGGGGACTCTTTCACCATGAATCCGACCCTGTTTGAAATTGGCCGGGAAGTCGACCCTCAAGACCTTCTGCACGGAATTGTCTTATCGTGAATCAAGATCCCTTTTTGGTTCACGAGGGATTGATCTATTTTTGGTGAATAATTCAATGTTGAAAAGCATGTTGGAAGGTCGGTGATTTTAACTCCTGTTGACAAAAATCATTGGTCTAGTTTTCGTGCTTGGGTATAAGAATGAATGGACCGCCCGTCAAGTGAAGATCAGAATAGCTTTCTTACCCAGTTTACCCAACATCATTATACAGTTTACACAGTTCATTATACATTCCATCCAGTTCAGCATCTCGAGTTTCATTTGCTAGTCTTCGACCTCATTTACCCTCTACTTCCCGCAATAAACGAAATTTCAACAAAAATCACCATGCAAAACTCAACAAGCAAAAAGGCCGCGGGCTCCGACACCAAAAACTCGCGATCGAGACAACTAGAAAAACGAGCACGAGCTCCGTCTAGTTCTTCTTCTTCAGAACTGGATTTCGATGACCGAGCGCTCTATAATGATCGTCCCCTTGAAGCACAATCTGAAGCAAGGAAAAAATACGAAGCTACTTTGGCTCGCATTCCAAGAGGTTATGGCCATGATTCCGATACCGACGATACGAAAGAGTTCAAGAAAGCTGCGGAACGCGCAAAAGATATGAAGCTACCGGAAGAGACACCCAGCACCCGCAAGGAAAAAGCAAAGGCCGATGCTCCTCGTGCCAAAAGCTCTCGCACATCTACTAGTAGCTCCCACAGGAACGCAACACCTGCCGACCCCCTTCGCAAAGAAAAAACACCCGCAGACCCCTCGCGCAGTGAAAGAACACCCGCTAGATCAAAGGCAAACTCGGATAACCTTAAAGCCATGTCCTCACTAAAGCTATCAAATACACCCCAAGACCGCCCAGACACTCGCAAACAAGTTCCATCAAGCAGCCGCAGCGGACCCACCAGTAGCAGCAATAGCAGCACTAGCAAATCCCGCGAAACTCGCGACTCCGCCTTCCAACGCACGCGCAGCGCCTTTAAAATCTATCCCGGTAGACATTATACGCTGGAAAGATATCCCATGAATCATAAGGATGTAGAACGCAGAGGGAAAACTCATTATGTCTGTTTGGTTTCGAAGCGATGTGAAAACTTGAGAATTAATATTTTGAAGGATATGGAAAAGCATCTTGAGGATTCTCATTATGAAGCATTGGGGGGAGTGAGGGAGGAGCGGGAAAAGCCGAAGGCGAGGGAGGTTGCTGGAAGTGATAGTGGGAAGAGTGTTGGGGAGTCTAGTAACTCAGCTGGGAGACGTTGAGAGTTTGGTTGGGGGGATTTGATTGAGGGATAGAGTAGTCGTTGGGTGTTGAAAGTTGGATGTTAGGGTATCATGAATAAATTTTCCCATTCTTGCGTCCCATATGGAGTTAGTAAGCTTGCTGCACTCTCGGCTCATCCTCGTCTCAGTCAACTCCCATGATGAACCTGAGCACCCTGATCATCTTGAGCAAGATTTACCACATCGTCACGTGTTTTGTCTTCTCGCTTTTAAGCCAATCCTACTTGACCTGACCTCTGTTCTCACATAGGTTTTGTCAAGTTTTGACGACGATGCTCAAGGAGCCCAAACAAGTTCCCAAGGAACCTAAAGTGGACACTTTCCTAAGATAAACCCAGTGCTTTGCCTACAGTATAAGTTGGTTCAACATGAATGCCCTTGAGGAGAGTACTGTTCTTCCCTCTATAATTTCCTTCCTGCCCCGTACTTGTCTTGATCTAAATAGCTCCTTTTTCCAATCTTATCTTTCGATCAATTTCCTAAATCTCTCTATACAATTCGTTTTATTCAATTGTTGCAGTTTCAGTATCCTCAATGCCCAAAAAGGAGTTGCTAGGGGTGGGGGTTCTTCGTACGATCCCGCGGCAAAGGCTCTGTAATCAAGTCAGAAATTGTCAACGGAAAAAAGGTGAAAAAAGACCTTCAGCTAGGAACAAAGAAAAACTATGCTCGTGCCCTAGCGCGATGGGACTAGTAAGGGCTATTTCCTGATCCCCATCAAAAAATTCTTCTCACGCTTATCTCTTTACCAAATAGGTTTGAACTCGAACACCCTAGAGCTACTCCAGATAATCTAGAGACGTCGAAAAGTTGGGCCGGATGTATTGCATATGGTATTTTAGGTGCTTATGGAGAGGATGGTTTGAGGAAGTTTAATATTGATGGAAGAAGGTTAGATTTCAAAAATGACGCATAATTTTCTAGATACCATTGATCATTAACCCCCAGAGCTTTCCTGCCAGTTCAATCTTATCTTGAAAATCAGGCGGTGTCCCATTATACCACCGTGACCCATAATCCAGTACTTCATCCCACCCAGTTCTCTTCCCCTCTGCCACGTAAATTATCTCCCTTAACCTCTCTGCATATTCTTCCCCCAAACTCTCGTCAATATTCGTACCGAGTTGAAATCCTTCACGAAAAGTATGGTTATTGATGAGCTAGAAAAAGTGACTACCTTTCTAGTGGACATCACCATCACTAACATCACTGGGGCTGTGATAAGTACCTATCGGTTTCCTCGACACGGTGAATTTTTCTCCACGTAGTGAGGGACGTTACTATCCCTTAAGCTGCTATGGTGGTTCGTTTCAAAACCCCGCTCTATGTACCGGTACTGTACGCCGCTATGATAAGATATTCTTCTATTGGCGGGCACCTGAGAAAAAGTTTGACCCCTGCTGACAATGATTTTGCACCTGCTTGCACTGCAGGCTCAGCAAAAACGGAGCCGCATTCCCGCCTCCGCATTTTTGCTAGGATGATACTCTTGGGGATTGGCCAATCAAGGCTAAACACAACACTAACAGAACTAAGCACTCAGCAATTTTCTCCGACCCTATATCGCAGGTAAAGTGCTTTATGGACTCTGTCAAGAGACTTAAAGCTTCGGGCGAGTCTTACGCGGCTTAGTTTCATCAACCTCCTTTAGCTCTTCGAGAGCAACAGCGTGACGTGTTCGGGCCCGAGTCTTCCTATGACTACGCGCATTCAAGTCAACATTTTCCCCAGGCTCTGTAACAGTTGGTACCGACAGCTGCTGTGACTCAAGTGGAACTCAAACACCCTTCGACGATTGCGGTGGAGTTATCGGATTGTATATTTGGGAATCAGACGAAGCGTATCCATTAACCGTCCAGGACTCTCCAAGTAATTGGTCAGTTGAAGACGATTGCCCATTAGACTTCTTCCCAGCAGATTCCCTTTGTCGTCCTTCCATTTTTTCGAACGCTTTCAAATTTTTCTCCGTCAGACGGGCACGTTTTGGAGGTCTTTCAGCACAGGTCTCGAAAGATCTGTTGGACCTCCGTTTCCGAGTCTGGTGGTATGAGTTGGACGTGAATATTGATTATCTAGTATATCATATATGTATTACCACACTGCTTGTTGAAAACAACAACAACAACAACCAACCTTGAAACTGTGTTCTTGAAGGTACTGGCGCCGACACCTCGATAGGGGTCGAAATTGGCACATGCGTATAGGAGGTCGCTCTAACAAGCTGTGGAGGCTGATGATTTGTTGGTCGTTGCTCAAGAGGGCTTTGTGACCCTAGGATGTAAGGAATTGATACAGCGCGCTGCCTTGATTGCAGGCGGGAGCTTCGTCTGCGCGGCCCTAGACTCAATGCCAATACCTTCGCAGCCATCGATGAATAAACTGTCGTGTTATAACGTACCTGGGATTGTTTGATTTGAATTAGACTGCAGTCGCAGAGGAGCGCGAGGCTTACAGATCCGCGTAGATCGCAGCTTCATGATGAACTTGGGCAATCGTAGATAAAGTGTGGTGATACTCGTAAGTGTTTTGGTGAGGGTGACGCACGGAACATGATTTGGTGGGGATCATGAAGGGGTTGATCAATTGATTCGCTGTCAAACAACGAACAAAATATAACTGGAGCCTGAGAATATGATAATCACGTGATAAATATAACAAGGAAATGTGCCAACATCTCCTCCTTCTCTTTTCTGTTTCTATTAATTGTGAGCGTATGGCCCAAGGGTCCTTCCGAGTGCTTTCTGCGAGCCGAACAAGGGAATGAATAATGGAGAGCTAGTCATATGACGTGACCAGGTGACGGGACTCTCGAACTGCCCAAAATGGCGGTGGCGTGTTTTCCTTTTCCTTTTTCGTAGCCAGCTCAAGCTCCAAGTTTGGAAACCGGCTCAAAGGGGGTTGGTGTTTGGTACAATTAAACCTCTTAATTTTTTCCCGTGACCCAAGACACTCCATACTTCCCTTCCAGTACCCTTCTTCTCTTTTTTGTCCAAACACATTTAGTCTCTACTCAGGCTTCATGAACAACCCAAACCGGAACGACTCTAAAAATATCCTCGTTTAACGATACTGTACTAAAGGCAGCGGCTGCCTAAGTTTCGTCGGTTGGTAGTTATGGGTTAAGGCTTTATCACTGGTATTCACTTGGAAGTGAATTCGTTACTAGATCAAGTAGAATGTAGGTAGACTAATTGATAACTAAGTTGAGCACGAAGCTCCTATACTATGAAACTACTCTGACTATATAATGAACGAAGAAGGGAGCCCCCAGGAGCTTTCTGGCTCCTCAGGGCTCCTTATCACGTGATTCATTTTCATCCCAGGACACTAATCCTAATGGTGAATCGTGACAGTTTGCCGTCTAGATCACGTGGAAGTGCTCTAGGCTCTCGAGGTGGTTTATAACTAGGCGTCAAGCAGGGACTTAAAGTAATGACAATAATGCAATTCGTAACTAATAGTAGAGTATACTAAATGATTGATCTTGAGCACGAAGCTCTATACAAAGGGAATCCATCTTGATTATATAGACCTTCGTGCCTCGTTAAAAACCGATGGCTATAAACCCGACAATTCGATCACCGCAAAACCGATCTCGATTTGTCGGTTTCTTGATCATGTGATCAAGAACGTGACCTATGTCACTGTCCGACGTAACATTCAGATTATTTACTTGAAAAGATTATTTTTATTATCAAAAATACATCAAGAATAACAAAAATCAACGTTTATAATATTTTTTATAATTTAATCAGTAATCCATCATGTAGGGACGACTCAAAGAAATATAATAAGCAAACAGCATTATAAGAGACATGAGTACACTAAACATATCAGAATCACCGAGGTTGCCAAATCCTCGGTAGATGCTATCCCCGGCAATTTGGGACTTTGAAGAAACCAACAAGTTATCTCATCACCGATTTCAGCGCGGCTGTCCTGACTGCCCTACTAGGACATGAATATATAAGCGCCATTATATTATATATCACCGCGTAAGCTGGGCCGTTCAGCTCGACTGCTGAATGTGTTTGAATATGTTGGATTCAGAGTGGGCGGGGACCAACATGCCTAATTGCCAGAAAGCGCGCCTCTCTTTTGCATGAACATAAGCGCTAACCTTATGACATTCAGCTATCTGACTCTCGTGATGGTATAAACGACTCACAACAGTTGGAAAGAAATTAATTTGAAGTTATTGATGATAATTCATACCACATTAATCTGCGCGCTTGAGCAAGCCGCGGAGGAATGAAGTGCCGCGGGAATATCGTGAACACAGATATTACACATATTCATGGTTAATAAGCGTGCTTTGATAATCAACTCACTTGAATTGAGCAAGATACTTCTCAAAAATAGATTCAATTTAATTCCACGCGACTGAAGTGACACCTTGGAAAACTATAACACGACCAGATAATCTATTCCAACAAACTCACGCCAGACATATGCACAGATCGATACCAAGAAAACAAAATGTCCCAAGTTGTGATCCGGAAGACTGTGTTTTCCCCAACCTATCATCACAACAGCCAGCCTTGCGTTTCCGACGCCACATTCACACCAGGCTGCCTAAGCGCCGAGGTTGAATGTCACCGATGAAATTGTGATAATGTGATTGTGTCCACAGAGAATGCCACAGTTCATATCATTGGAGATCCACAAAAAATGGAGGCTCCTGATAACGGTACTCATGTCTTAGATTGGAGCGTCGAGGGGTAGACCCGACCTGATACACCAAGCCTTGTTGTACATGCAGGCAGAAATAGTTCGTGATGCTGTACAACACAGACGCGGAGAATGTAAGATACACTGCATCATACATTTTACATCGTGGCATTGTTCGTATTAGGGCAATAGATCCCCTTACATCAAAATGCGAAAACAACAAAATAGAAACTAGACGAAAGGGACACGAGAAAAGACGATGAAGATAATAATGGTATTCCAGGTGTTGTCTCGTGATATAGTGATGATGTACTAACATTTATTTTAGTGATGTTACGTGGGGATGTTTGTTACTGGCTGATTTTAGACTTCTAAATATAAGCGCTGTCTCAAAGAAGGATGCGGCTTTACATTTCGGCTTGTGATATGAGGGGTAAATAACCGTTGAGCAAGGTTAACTAAGGGCTGGGTTTGACTTTCAGCTACTTTTAGGAGTGGCTTTATGGGCGTACACGATATTCCAGAAGATGAGCAGTAGGCGGGGTTATTTTTTGCAGCCTCTTCGATTTGTATTTAGGGAAAGTTTTGACAAGAGCGTAGCAAGGTATTGAAGTACTAATGTAATACACATAGTAGAATACTAGTAGCTGTAAGATTGTATCCTTGGTTTACATGCCCGGCCACCAGTGGCTCGTTACGAGGTAATATTTTGTACGCCCGCTGGTTTCTGCCCAAGTAAGGCTAAGAGGTGATAGCTTCTCCCAACGTTGAAACACCCGTATCTATCGACAATCACGCACTTGCTGTCTCGATCGAAAGCAAATGACGTACATGAGATCCTGTATTAAAACAATACTAATGATGATGATCAGGTACTGAGTCACAGGAATAACAAAAGAATCTTCATAATGAACATGAGGGGTAATTTTCAAAGACTCGTGACACGCTCTTGAAAGTCTTGGTAGGGATATGGTGGGGATATCTAAGTGGGATGTTATGAAAGTAGATTATGTCTTTTCTGCGCGTTTGACGCAGGTGAATACTTGGGATCCTAGAGTTGAGAGAAAGTCCTTTGACTTGGAAGTGGAGTCTAGAGGATAAGAAAAGGTGGATGTGATCGGAATTCAGGTATTAATCCAAAACAAACAGAGTCCCCGGATCAACGACGACCCCATGGATTATTAGAACGGTCCAGCTTGTGCCGATCAAGAAAAAAGATCGATTTCATGCACTTATCGGTATGAAAGTCGTCATATTTGGGTATTCGTGGCTGAAGAATAAGAGAGAATTGGTGGAATATCATGATGATGATAGAGTGGATAGCAAGGTGGATTTAGCGATGGGGAATTTTGTTGCTGGTTGTTGGAATCCAAGTTTGCTGAGTTTGATCATTGATGTGCTGTATGGTATGAAGTAATGATGGCTGTATGTAAATCAAAGTACTGGATGAGAGCTTGTACACATGTGAAATACAGGCCCAACCGTGGCCCCAGATGCCTGGATTTTCGCTTGATTAAACCATTGTTGTGGTCTAATGAAAGGCCTTGAACGCTGTAAAATATTGGATACGTGGTGCCAAAGGAATTGATTGACCTAAATCATCACATTTAGATATGAAAAAAAAAGCTGAAGTTTCGAGGTCGTTTAGCATTATGTGGAAGGATTGGAGGATTCGAAGAGAGTATCCATAGCGAAAGGTGTCTTTTTATAGCACTCCGTATGTGTTCAATAGATTGTTGTGATGACAATTGTAATGTGTACTTTGTAACTCAGTCGAGGAATTGATAAACATTCTCCCCTCTTATCCGAGGTCCCGCCATGGTCTTAGGTTGAATTTTAGTCAAAATTCTTTACACCCGCGGCGGGATGTTCGCTATCAAATGGATCTTTCCCGAGCTTCCCATTCGTAACGGGAGGGACACTCTAGAAAAGTTCAGATGATCTCGCCTTCTCCACCTCACCATCTCTAGTCAGTTTGAATTTGACAACTCTAGCTGGCCTCAGTACTTGGCATCTATCTGTATTTGGTAAGTTGATGAGTCGAGTTTGAAAGATACTCTCCAAGAAGAAAGCAACTCTTTTTATCGAATTATATTCTTGTTTGAAATATAGAGGGTCCACAGGAACATTCATTGGAGATTGTTGGAACTGAGGGGTAAAGCAAGTCAAAATGAATGATACTGGTTTGGCTGAAACAGAAGGCTGTGAAAAGTCAGCTCAGATTGGATGGCGGGGCAGCCGATAAGAGGACAAGGAAGTCTTCGCGTCCGCATTACTGCAGGAGCAACATCGGACTTTTTCAAGAAAATCACACAAAACTCATACCGTAAGCAGCAAGAGAGCTATTTACTAGGATGATGGCGACTTTTTGCAGTTGATAAGTTGATAGGTAAACCCAAGTGTCCCTGAATAGAGGTCATGAGTTCTGCGGCCCATTTTGGTGACAGTAAACCCGCGAATGCCCTGGCTTTAGTGCATGATGTATGTGCTTTTGATGTGCGGGAGATCTATCGCCAAAGGCGGTACAGATGTTATTGACGGTGTTGGAAGTGGAATGGATTCTTTGAAGATCCTGATAGGGTTTCCGATAAAACGCGAAGAAGGTTTAGCTCTGAACTTTTTCGAGGTGAAGCTTCGGATATTTCTCTGCTTCTTGGTGTACGAGTGATCAAAGCAGTGGGGAATATGGAAAGAAAGGGAAAATAACCCCATCGACTGTCGTCAAGACCTGCCAAACTGATGCTCGACGTACCTAGTATTATTATGCATGAAATTCCAGAAGAAGGTGTTAGAGTGATAGAAGTACAAAGAAGAAGAGAGATGATTTGTGTACTTCGAGTACAGGATGGGGCAGATGGGGGTTTATCTTTGCATGGTGATTTGCATGATAATACTACATACATACTAGGTAGTTCTAGGTAGTTCTAGTTACACGACATGAAATTTATAATCCGAGGTCTCGCTTCAGGAACACCTCTACACCTCTAGATTTGGAAACGCCTGACCATGCCCTTCCTCACCTAGCAAAACATGAGGACAGAAGATAGACCATATGAAATTGATAGGTTTGAACTTTGACATGCCGGAGTCACAGATAACAAAAAAAGTTGGGCCTTGATGCAGGCAAAGTTCCATTTTGATTCTTTTCATCCATTTAGGGGATCAGGAAAAGAGGGGAGAAAAATGATGAAAGGGGTGTGATGACAGTAACTTTCGTACCTGACTTTATCCGGTATATCTGACGTTAGCTATACCCCTCCTTCTTCATGTTCTTTTGCGGCTACTCCAACTCTAATCACAGTTGTATTGGCGGTAAAAGAATTTATTATTGCGAAGAAGATGATGATGATTGAATTTCTACGTCGATTCTCCATAGTTTGGAATTATCAAGGTTAACCTAGATGAATGTGGACAAACCTCTTCATTAGTGACATTCAAGTTACTCAAGTGTGCAGCAGAACGCCGTGGTCTCATGCACTCTAAGTTCTTGATGGAACTTAGCTTGAAGCTTTTTATTGGCCCATCTATCACCAATGGATTGAAAGGTCTTTCGATCACGTCCACCCATCCGGAGTTCCCATCATTTGTTTATTTACTTGTTTTTGGATGAGTGACTCTGAATGCGGTAATGGACTGATTCTCTAAGCTGGTGATAGAATTGATGCTTGACTACGAGCCATAATAAAGTGGAAATGTTACATGCCAGTATGAGTAACCTCATAGACACTGTATCCATTTTGCCATCATAAGATACCTGGTGGCCATGAGTCTCAGATGTTTTTTCTTTTCACTTCGCAGCTCAACCAACGCAACCAACCCAACCAACTCAGCTGAATTGATTGATACTAAATTCTAACCACTGCTGCATCTATTGCCCGTTCAACGACTTGGCTCCGCTTCGATTCGATCGTCGGTATCATTGTGGCGCGTGTTGGTTTGTTAGATCTACCACCGCTATTGAGACGTCCTCGATTTCTTCCGCTGTGGAGAATCTGATACTTTCACGTCAGGCTCTACTCAACTCAATCTGTTCTTTACCAGTCGATCGAAAGGGACCAGGCTATCTTTGCCCTAATATCTAGCCTAGGCCAGGCTTACCTCATTATTATTTCCAGAGTCTCACACATACATATCATACAGGACGCAGCGTTGTATCGAATGGTTATGATTCTTTCAGTTGCATCACTCCATCATATCACTCACCCCAACAGACCAAGTTGAGCCAAATCATTCACCGTCATATTTTACTTTGATCATACCAAGACCCAAGAAACACGACGCTCACTTGTTTTGCCCTGCCTCACTTCCCCATTGACGTTGACGTTGATTTGAAGTTCTAGGACAACTCAATGCTTCAGTGTTCCAAACAAAGTTAAATTTATTCATTCATTATTCATCATCAAACCGGATACCTCCCTTTCCAAGGTCGTCTAATCATAAATCATCCACGGCTATCAAAATCATTCAAAGTCTGGCAATCATAACTTGGAATAGCCTAAAGCATTTTTTCCCATTACACAACATACATTATTCTACAGAAACCTCGCTCTATCATTCGTGAATAGAATCGGGGTGTGGATGTCCCGACTGGTCAATTTTCTTCGCAAATCGTAATTGTCAGGACGACAGTTCACCGCCTCGTTGCCTTCCCCCAATATTATATCGCCCTATATACTTATTATTTGATACTACTACTCCATACATTTGCTGCGGCTGCCAATGTCCTTCTGCTGAGCCTGGTACCTTGACAAACGAATAATATACACTTTACTAGAGGAGACGTCCAAGATTTGGGCACGTGTATTACAGGCCCTACAAGCCAATATATACAG